TGTACCAACCAAGACCTAACTGTAGCAGCGCTAGTGGTAACGAGGGTTATTCTAGGTTCCGCTGCAGGTTGGACTTGGGAGGCGTGGCTCCAAGGCTTCGGGGGTCACCATGCGCAATTCCAGGGGTGCTCTCTGGACTCATCAGGAAGTAAATGTCCTGAAAAAAAAACGGTTCTTTTCAGAGCCACTAATTTATCTGCAATGAAAAAAGATTATCTGTTAGCCCTAATTATATTGTCATTATAGATTTGGAAATTCATAATCTCTTAAAAAAACGGTTACAACTATATTGTTTTCAGTTGTGATTGACTGCGAAGCTAAAAATATGAACTAGCCGACCAATCAGCGCGCGCTTGACGGCAGGGGGCAGAGTCTACGCCTGTCGTAAGGACTTATCTCCTCTCCAGGTAAGAACCGGTCAATATAAATAGAGGCCGCCGTCATTTCATGAGCAGTCAGACTTTAGTTCGAAGATGGATCTGATGATGAATGAAGCGATGCTTCAAGACGGTCTGCCTAGGTGCTCGACGCCTATTCGGAGGTCGATGTACCAACCAAGACCTAACTGTAGCAGCGCTAGTGATAACGAGGGTTATTCTGGGTTCCGCTGCAGGTTGGACTTGGGAGGCGTGGCTCCAAGGCTTCGGGGGTCACCATGCGCAATTCCAGGGGTGCTCTCTGGACTCATCAGGAAGTAAATGTCCTGAAAAAAAAAACGGTTCTTTTCAGAGCCACTAATTTATCTGCAATGAAAAAAGATTATCTGTTAGCCCTAATTATATTGTCATTATAGATTTGAAAATTCATAATCTCTTGAAAATCGCTTTTTTTCAGAGCCACTGATTTATATTCAACCGAAGAATATCAGTTAGCCCTAGTGATATTGAAATTAGAGATTTGGAAATTCATAATCTCTTAAAAAAACGGTTACAACTATATTGTTTTCAGTTGTGATTGACTGCGAAGCTAAAAATATGAACTAGCCGACCAATCAGCGCGCGCTTGACGGCAGGGGGCAGAGTCTACGCCTGTCGTAAGGACTTATCCCCTCTCCAGGTAAGAACCGGTCAATATAAATAGAGGCCGCCGTCATTTTATGAGCAGTCAGACTTTAGTTCGTAGATGGATCTGATGATGAATGAAGCGATGCTTCAAGACGGTCTGCCTAGGTGCTCGACGCCTATTCGGAGGTCGATGTACCAACCAAGACCTAACTGTAGCAGCGCTAGTGATAACGAGGGTTATTCTGGGTTCCGCTGCAGGTTGGACTTGGGAGGCGTGGCTCCAAGGCTTCGGGGGTCACCATGCGCAATTCCAGGGGTGCTCTCTGGACTCATCAGGAAGTAAATGTCCTGAAAAAAAAAACGGTTCTTTTCAGAGCCACTAATTTATCTGCAATGAAAAAAGATTATCTGTTAGCCCTAATTATATTGTCATTATAGATTTGAAAATGCATAATCTCTTGAAAATCGCTTTTTTTCAGAGCCACTGATTTATATTCAACCGAAGAATATCCGTTAGCCCTAGTGATATTGAAATTAGAGATTTGGAAATTCATAATATCTTATAAAAACGGTTACAACTATATTGTTTTCAGTTGTGATTGACTGCGAAGCTAAAAATATGAACTAGCCGACCAATGAGCGCGCGCTTGACGGCAGGGGGCAGAGTCTACGCCTGTCGTAAGGACTTAATTCCTCTCCAGGTAAGAACCGGTCAATATAAATAGAGGCCGCCGTCATTTCATGAGCAGTCAGACTTTAGTTCGAAGATGGATCTGATGGTGAATGAAGCGATGCTTGAAGACGGTCTGCCTAGGTGCTCGACGCCTATTCGGAGGTCGATGTACCAACCAAGACCTAACTGTAGCAGCGCTAGTGATAACGAGGGTTATTCTAGGTTCCGCTGCAGGTTGGACTTGGGAGGCGTGGCTCCAAGGCTTCGGGGGTCACCATGCGCAATTCCAGGGGTGCTCTCTGGACTCATCAGGAAGTAAATGTCTTGAAAAAAAAAACGGTTCTTTTCAGAGCCACTAATTTATCTGCAATGAATAAAGATTATCTGTTAGCCCTAATGATATTGTCATTATAGATTTGAAACTTCATAATCTCTTGAAAAACACTTTTTTTCAGAGCCACTGATTTATATTCAATCAATCAGTTAGCCCTAGTGATATTAAAATTAGAGATTTGGAAATTCATAATCTCTTATAAAAACGGTTACAACTATATTGTTTTAAGTTGTGATTGAATGCGAAGCTAAAAATATGAACTAGCCGACCAATCAGCGCGCGCTTGACGGCAGGGGGCAGAGTCTACGCCTGTCGTAAGGACTTATCCCCTCTCCAGGTAAGAACCGGTCAATATAAATAGAGGTCGCCGTCATTTCATGAGCAGTCAGTCTTTAGTTCGAAGATGGATCTGATGGTGAATGAAGCGATGCTTGAAGACGGTCTGCCTAGGTGCTCGACGCCTATTCGGAGGTCGATGTACCAACCAAGACCTAACTGTAGCAGCGCTAGTGATAACGAGGGTTATTCTAGGTTCCGCTGCAGGTTGGACTTGGGAGGCGTGGCCCCAAGGCTTCGGGGGTCACCATGCGCAATTCCAGGGGTGCTCTCTGGACTCATCAGGAAGTAAATGTCCTGAAAAAAAAACGGTTCTTTTCAGAGCCACTAATTTATCTGCAATGAAAAAAGATTATCTGTTAGCCCTAATTATATTGTCATTATAGATTTGAAAATTCATAATCTCTTGAAAATCGCTTTTTTTCAGAGCAACTGATTTATATTCAACCGAAGAATATCCGTTGGCCCTAGTGATATTGAAATTAGAGATTTGGAAATTCATAATATCTTATAAAAACGGTTACAACTATATTGTTTTCAGTTGTGATTGAATGCGAAGCTAAAAATATGAACTAGCCGACCAATCAGCGCGCGCTTGACGGCAGGGGGCAGAGTCTACGCCTGTCGTAAGGACTTATCCCCTCTCCAGGTCAGAACCGGTCAATATAAATAGAGGCCGCCGTCATTTCATGAGCAGTCATACTTTAGTTCGAAGATGGATCTGATGGTGAATGAAGCGATGCTTGAAGGCGGTCTGCCTAGGTGCTCGACGCCTATTCGGAGGTCGATGTACCAACCAAGACCTAACTGTAGCAGCGCTAGTGATAACGAGGGTTATTCTAGGTTCCGCTGCAGGTTGGACTTGGGAGGCGTGGCTCCAGGGCTTCGGGGGTCACCATGCGCAATTCCAGGGGTGCTCTCTGGACTCATCAGGAAGTAAATGTCCTGAAAAAAAAACGGTTCTTTTCAGAGCCACTTATTTATCTGCAATGAAAAAAGATTATCTGTTAGCCCTAATTATATTGTCATTATAGATTTGAAAATTCATAATCTCTTGAAAATCGCTTTTTTTCAGAGCCACTGATTTATATTCAACCGAAGAATATCCGTTAGCCCTAGTGATATTAAAATTAGAGATTTGGAAATTCATAATCTCTTATAAAAACGGTTACAACTATATTGTTTTCAGTTGTGATTGACTGCGAAGCTAAAAATATGAACTAGCCGACCAATCAGCGCGCGCTTGACGGCAGTGGGCAGAGTCTACGCCTGTCGTAAGGACTTATCCCCTCTCCAGGTAAGAACGTTAGTGATAACGAGGGTTATTCTAGGTTCCGCTGCAGGTTGGACTTGGGAGGCGTGGCACCAAGGCTTCGGGGGTCACCGTGCGCAATTCCAGGGGTGCTCTCTGGACTCATCAGGAAGTAAATGTCCTGAAAAAAAAACGGTTCTTTTCAGAGCCACTAATTTATCTGCAATGAAAAAAGATTATCTGTTAGCCCTAATGATATTGTCATTATAGATTTGAAACTTCATAATCTCTTGAAAAACGCTTTTTTTCAGAGCCACTGATTTATATTCAACGGAAGAAGGAAGAATATCCGTTAGCCCTAGTGATATTAAAATTAGAGATTTGGAATTTCATAATCTCTTATAAAAACGGTTACAACTATATTTTTTTCAGTTGTGATTGACTGCGAAGCTAAAAATATGAACTAGCCGACCAATCAGCGCGCGCTTGACGGCAGGGGGCAGAGTCTACGCCTGTCGTAAGGACTTATCCCCTCTCCAGGTAAGAACCGGTCAATATAAATAGAGGCCGCCGTCATTTCATGAGCAGTCAGACTTTAGTTCGAAGATGGATCTGATGGTGAATGAAGCGATGCTTGAAGACGGTCTGCCTAGGTGCTCGACGCCTTCGGAGGTCGATGTACCAACCAAGACCTAACTGTAGCAGCGCTAGTGATAACGAGGGTTATTCTAGGTTCCGCTGCAGGTTGGACTTGGGAGGCGTGGCTCCAAGGCTTCGGGGGTCACCATGCACAATTCCAGGGGTGCTCTCTGGACTCATCAGGAAGTAAATGTCCTGAAAAAAAACCGGTTCTTTTCAGAGCCACTAATTTATCTGCAATGAAAAAAGATTATCTGTTAGCCCTAATGATATTGTCATTATAGATTTGAAACTTCATAATCTCTTGAAAAACGCTTTTTTACAGAGCCACTGATTTATATTCAATCAATCAGTTAGCCCTAGTAATATTGAAATTAGAGATTTGGAAATTCATAATCTCTTAAAAAAACGGTTACAACTATATTGTTTTCAGTTGTGATTGACTGCGAAGCTAAAAATATGAACTAGCCGACCAATCAGCGCGCGCTTGACGGCAGGGGGCAGAGTCTACGCCTGTCGTAAGGACTTATCTCCTCTCCAGGTAAGAACCGGTCAATATAAATAGAGGCCGCCGTCATTTCATGAGCAGTCAGACTTTAGTTCGAAGATGGATCTGATGATGAATGAAGCGATGCTTCAAGACGGTCTGCCTAGGTGCTCGACGCCTATTCGGAGGTCGATGTACCAACCAAGACCTAACTGTAGCAGCGCTAGTGATAACGAGGGTTATTCTGGGTTCCGCTGCAGGTTGGACTTGGGAGGCGTGGCTCCAAGGCTTCGGGGGTCACCATGCGCAATTCCAGGGGTGCTCTCTGGACTCATCAGGAAGTAAATGTCCTGAAAAAAAAAACGGTTCTTTTCAGAGCCACTAATTTATCTGCAATGAAAAAAGATTATCTGTTAGCCCTAATTATATTGTCATTATAGATTTGAAAATTCATAATCTCTTGAAAATCGCTTTTTTTCAGAGCCACTGATTTATATTCAACCGAAGAATATCAGTTAGCCCTAGTGATATTGAAATTAGAGATTTGGAAATTCATAATCTCTTAAAAAAACGGTTACAACTATATTGTTTTCAGTTGTGATTGACTGCGAAGCTAAAAATATGAACTAGCCGACCAATCAGCGCGCGCTTGACGGCAGGGGGCAGAGTCTACGCCTGTCGTAAGGACTTATCCCCTCTCCAGGTAAGAACCGGTCAATATAAATAGAGGCCGCCGTCATGTACCAACCAAGACCTAACTGTAGCAGCGCTAGTGATAACGAGGGTTATTCTAGGTTCCGCTGCAGGTTGGACTTGGGAGGCGTGGCCCCAAGGCTTCGGGGTTCACCATGCGCAATTCCAGGGGTGCTCTCTGGACTCATCAGGAAGTAAATGTCCTGAAAAAAAAACGGCTCTTTTCAGAGCCACTAATTTATCTGCAATGAAAAAAGATTATCTGTTAGCCCTAATTATATTGTCATTATAGATTTGAAAATTCATAATCTCTTGAAAATCGCTTTTTTTCAGAGCCACTGATTTATATTCAACCGAAGAATATCCGTTAGTCCTAGTGATATTGAAATTAGAGATTTGGAAATTCATAATATCTTATAAAAACGGTTACAACTATATTGTTTTCAGTTGTGATTGAATGCGAAGCTAAAAATATGAACTAGCCGACCAATTAGCGCGCGCTTGACGGCAGGGGGCAGAGTCTACGCCTGTCGTAAGGACTTATCCCCTCTCCAGGTAAGAACCGGTCAATATAAATAGAGGCCGCCGTCATTCCATGAGCAGTCAGTCTTTAGTTCGAAGATGGATCTGATGGTGAATGAAGCGATGCTTGAAGACGGTCTGCCTAGGTGCTCGACGCCTATTCGGAGGTCGATGTACCAACCAAGACCTAACTGTAGCAGCGCTAGTGATAACGAGGGTTATTCTAGGTTCCGCTGCAGGTTGGACTTGGGAGGCGTGGCTCCAAGGCTTCGGGGGTCACCATGCACAATTCCAGGGGTGCTCTCTGGACTCATCAGGAAGTAAATGTCCTGAAAAAAAACCGGTTCTTTTCAGAGCCACTAATTTATCTGCAATGAAAAAAGATTATCTGTTAGCCCTAATGATATTGTCATTATAGATTTGAAACTTCATAATCTCTTGAAAAACGCTTTTTTACAGAGCCACTGATTTATATTCAATCAATCAGTTAGCCCTAGTAATATTGAAATTAGAGATTTGGAAATTCATAATCTCTTAAAAAAACGGTTACAACTATATTGTTTTCAGTTGTGATTGACTGCGAAGCTAAAAATATGAACTAGCCGACCAATCAGCGCGCGCTTGACGGCAGGGGGCAGAGTCTACGCCTGTCGTAAGGACTTATCTCCTCTCCAGGTAAGAACCGGTCAATATAAATAGAGGCCGCCGTCATTTCATGAGCAGTCAGACTTTAGTTCGAAGATGGATCTGATGATGAATGAAGCGATGCTTCAAGACGGTCTGCCTAGGTGCTCGACGCCTATTCGGAGGTCGATGTACCAACCAAGACCTAACTGTAGCAGCGCTAGTGATAACGAGGGTTATTCTGGGTTCCGCTGCAGGTTGGACTTGGGAGGCGTGGCTCCAAGGCTTCGGGGGCCACCATGCGCAATTCCAGGGGTGCTCTCTGGACTCATCAGGAAGTAAATGTCCTGAAAAAAAAAACGGTTCTTTTCAGAGCCACTAATTTATCTGCAATGAAAAAAGATTATCTGTTAGCCCTAATTATATTGTCATTATAGATTTGAAAATTCATAATCTCTTGAAAATCGCTTTTTTTCAGAGCCACTGATTTATATTCAACCGAAGAATATCCGTTAGCCCTAGTGATATTGAAATTAGAGATTTGGAAATTCATAATATCTTATAAAAACGGTTACAACTATATTGTTTTCAGTTGTGATTGAATGCGAAGCTAAAAATATGAACTAGCCGACCAATCAGCGCGCGCTTGACGGTAGGGGGCAGAGTCTACGCCTGTCGTAAGGACTTATCCCCTCTCCAGGTAAGAACCGGTCAATATAAATAGAGGCCGCCGTCATTTCATGAGCAGTCAGACTTTAGTTCGAAGATGGATCTGATGGTGAATGAAGCGATGCTTGAAGACGGTCTGCCTAGGTGCTCGACGCCTATTCGGAGGTCGATGTACCAACCAAGACCTAACTGTAGCAGCGCTAGTGATAACGAGGGTTATTCTAGGTTCCGCTGCAGGTTGGACTTGGGAGGCGTGGCTCCAAGGCTTCGGGGGTCACCATGCGCAATTCCAGGGGTGCTCTCTGGACTCATCAGGAAGTAAATGTCCTGAAAAAAAAAACGGTTCTTTTCAGAGCCACTAATTTATCTGCAATGAAAAAAGATTATCTGTTAGACCTAATGATATTGTCATTATAGATTTGAAACTTCATAATCTCTTGAAAAACGCTTTTTTCAGAGCCACTGATTTATATTCAACGGAAGAATATCCGTTAGCCCTAGTGATATTAAAATTAGAGATTTGGAAATTCATAATCTCTTATAAAAACGGTTACAACTATATTTTTTTCAGTTGTGATTGACTGCGAAGCTAAAAATATGAACTAGCCGACCAATCAGCGCGCGCTTGACGGCAGGGGGCAGAGTCTACGCCTGTCGTAAGGACTTATCCCCTCTCCAGGTAAGAACCGGTCAATATAAATAGAGGCCGCCGTCATTTCATGAGCAGTCAGACTTTAGTTCGAAGATGGATCTGATGGTGAATGAAGCGATGCTTGAAGACGGTCTGCCTAGGTGCTCGACGCCTATTCGGAGGTCGATGTACCAACCAAGACCTAACTGTAGCAGCGCTAGTGATAACGAGGGTTATTCTAGGTTCCGCTGCAGGTTGGACTTGGGAGGCGTGGCTCCAAGGCTTCGGGGGTCACCATGCGCAATTCCAGGGGTGCTCTCTGGACTCATCAGGAAGTAAATGTCCTGAAAAAAAAACGGTTCTTTTCAGAGCCACTAATTTATCTGCAATGAAAAAAGATTATCTGTTAGCCCTAATGATATTGTCATTATAGATTTGAAACTTCATAATCTCTTGAAAAACGCTTTTTTTCAGAGCCACTGATTTATATTCAACGGAAGAATATCCGTTAGCCCTAGTGATATTAAAATTAGAGATTTGGAAATTCATAATCTCTTATAAAAACGGTTACAACTATATTGTTTTCAGTTGTGATTGACTGCGAAGCTAAAAATATGAACTAGCCGACCAATCAGCGCGCGCTTGACGGCAGGGGGCAGAGTCTACGCCTGTCGTAAGGACTTATCCCCTCTCCAGGTAAGAACCGGTCAATATAAATAGAGGCCGCCGTCATTTCATGAGCAGTCAGTCTTTAGTTCGAAGATGGATCTGATGGTGAATGAAGCGATGCTTGAAGACGGTCTGCCTAGGTGCTCGACGCCTATTCGGAGGTCGATGTACCAACCAAGACCTAACTGTAGCAGCGCTAGTGATAACGAGGGTTATTCTAGGTTCCGCTGCAGGTTGGACTTGGGAGGCGTGGCTCCAAGGCTTCGGGGGTCACCATGCGCAATTCCAGGGGTGCTCTCTGGACTCATCAGGAAGTAAATGTCCTGAAAAAAAAACGGTTCTTTTCAGAGCCACTAATTTATCTGCAATGAAAAAAGATTATCTGTTAGCCCTAATGATATTGTCATTATAGATTTGAAAATTCATAATCTCTTGAAAATCGCTTTTTTTCAGAGCCACTGATTTATATTCAACCGAAGAATATCCGTTAGCCCTAGTGATATTGAAATTAGAGATTTGGAAATTCATAATATCTTATAAAAACGGTTACAACTATATTGTTTTCAGTTGTGATTGAATGCGAAGCTAAAAATATGAACTAGCCGACCAATCAGCGCGCGCTTGACGGCAGGGGGCAGAGTCTACGCCTGTCGTAAGGACTTATCCCCTCTCCAGGTAAGAACCGGTCAATATAAATAGAGGCCGCCGTCATTTCATGAGCAGTCAGACTTTAGTTCGAAGATGGATCTGATGGTGAATGAAGCGATGCTTGAAGACGGTCTGCCTAGGTGCTCGACGCCTATTCGGAGGTCGATGTACCAACCAAGACCTAACTGTAGCAGCGCTAGTGATAACGAGGGTTATTCTAGGTTCCGCTGCAGGTTGGACTTGGGAGGCGTGGCTCCAAGGCTTCGGGGGTCACCATGCGCAATTCCAGGGGTGCTCTCTGGACTCATCAGGAAGTAAATGTCCTGAAAAAAAAAACGGTTCTTTTCAGAGCCACTAATTTATCTGCAATGAAAAAAGATTATCTGTTAGCCCTAATTATATTGTCATTATAGATTTGAAAATTCATAATCTCTTGAAAATCGCTTTTTTTCAGAGCCACTGATTTATATTCAACCGAAGAATATCCGTTAGCCCTAGTGATATTGAAATTAGAGATTTGGAAATTCATAATCTCTTATAAAAACGGTTACAACTATATTGTTTTCAGTTGTGATTGACTGCGAAGCTAAAAATATGAACTAGCCGACCAATCAGCGCGCGCTTGACGGCAGGGGGCAGAGTCTACGCCTGTCGTAAGGACTTATCCCCTCTCCAGGTAAGAACCGGTCAATATAAATAGAGGCCGCCGTCATTTCATGAGCAGTCAGACTTTAGTTCGAAGATGGATCTGATGGTGAATGAAGCGATGCTTGAAGACGGTCTGCCTAGGTGCTCGACGCCTATTCGGAGGTCGATGTACCAACCAAGACCTAACTGTAGCAGCGCTAGTGATAACGAGGGTTATTCTAGGTTCCGCTGCAGGTTGGACTTGGGAGGCGTGGCTCCAAGGCTTCGGGGGTCACCATGCGCAATTCCAGGGGTGCTCTCTGGACTCATCAGGAAGTAAATGTCCTGAAAAAAAAACGGTTCTTTTCAGAGCCACTAATTTATCTGCAATGAAAAAAGATTATCTGTTAGCCCTAATTATATTGTCATTATAGATTTGAAAATTCATAATCTCTTGAAAATCGCTTTTTTTCAGAGCCACTGATTTATATTCAACCGAAGAATATCCGTTAGCCCTAGTGATATTGAAATTAGAGATTTGGAAATTCATAATCTCTTATAAAAACGGTTACAACTATATTGTTTTCAGTTGTGATTGACTGCGAAGCTAAAAATATGAACTAGCCGACCAATCAGCGCGCGCTTGACGGCAGGGGGCAGAGTCTACGCCTGTCGTAAGGACTTATCCCCTCTCCAGGTAAGAACCGGTCAATATAAATAGAGGCCGCCGTCATTTCATGAGCAGTCAGACTTTAGTTCGAAGATGGATCTGATGGTGAATGAAGCGATGCTTGAAGACGGTCTGCCTAGGTGCTCGACGCCTATT